TGTTCTCATTCTGCTCATTTCCCTCTGCATCAGTTCAACAAAGTCTTCTCAGGTCTCTCTGAAACCATACCCTTCATTATTTCTTGCAGCACAATAGTATTCTATCCCATTCATATACCGTAGCTTGTTTAGCCATTCCCCAATTGATGGGCCCCCTCAGTTTCCAATTCTTTGCCACTGCAAAAAGTTTTAAATATTTTTGTATATTCTTAGAGTTTGTTTTGCTTATGACCAATCCCTCTCTTAATCTACTTTCCATCTAATTCCCTCTTCTGTATTTACCCCTTTCCCTTTAAGGGAAGTTAAATGAAATGCAATTATTTACCCCAATTTCTCTTTGTCTGTATTCTTTCTTCCTTTGACCAATTTAGAGGGAGTGAGGTTTGAGTGTTGCCTGATTCACCTATCCCTTCCTCCTTGTTTTTTTATAGATATCTACTTGTGCACCCCTATTTTATGAGATTATTTTCTCTTTCTCTTCCCTTCCCTTTCCATTCTTCTTTTAAGATAATCAAGACAAAACAAAACCAAGACATAACAGAATGACTTCCAATCCTTCTGTCTAATTAGACTTCTATGCCCTATAATGACCATGAGGTTCAGAAGAGAAACATATATCATCTCCACTTATTAGAATGTAGGAAGTTTATCCTTGTTTAGGTCCCTTAGAATTGTTCATTCACTTTTACTTTTTTTATTTTTCTCTTGATTCCTATGTTTTTGCTTTAATGTTTTTGTGCAGCTCTTATCTTTTCATCAAGGATGTTTGAGTGTGCTCCATTTCATTAAAGATCCATTTCCCCTCCCCCACCCCATGTAGGCTTATACTTAATTTCTTGGATGAGTTATTCTTAGTTGTAAGCCTATATCCTTTGCTTTCTGGAATATTACATTCCAAGTTTTCCATTCATTCAAAGGGGTGACTACTAAATAGTGTGTGATCCTGACAGTAGCTCTTCAGTACGCAAATTCTTTCTGGATAGCTGCGGCATTTTTTCTATGTTCAAGAAGCTCTGGATTTTGGCTAAAATGTTCCTGGTAGTTTTCATTTTGAGAGTTCTTTTAGGAGGTGACCAGTGAGTTGTTTCTATTCCTATTTTGCCACCTGGTTCTAAGAGATCTGGGCAGGGTTTTTTGTTTGTTTTTTTAATTTTTGAAAGATGGTGGCTTGGCTCTTTTTTCTAGTCAAAGCTTTCAGGAAGGCCACGACTGTTAAATTTTTTTTTCTTTTCTATGAGTTTTTGCTATGAGATACCTTACATTTTCTTCTATTTTTTCAGGCTTTTAACTTTGTTTTAGTATTTCTTGTTGTCTCATGGAGTCGTTAGCTTCTATTTGATTCATTTTAATATTCAGGGAGTTTGTTGCTTGGGTAAGCTTTTGTGCCTCTTGTGCCAAGCAATTAATTCCCTTTCCAATTCTTTGTTCCATAACTGTCATTACTTTAAAAAAATTTTTTTCCTCTATGGTTTCATTTCATTTATGAAATAATTTCATACTCTTTTTAAAAAATAAAACTCTTGTTTTTTGTCTTCCAGGAATTCTAGATAAATTTATGGATAATCTGTGTTGTTGTTGTTGGTTTTTTGTTTTGTTTTTTTTTGAGGCTTTTTCTTGGAGATGTTTTGGAGTATTTGACAGTGTTCCTATTATTATAATAGCTGTTTATAGTGGAATTTTTTTTGTTAGCTCATTCTTCCACTCTACTTCATGACTTTGGACTTTATGTTAAGGCCAGGTTCAGTTCACTCATGAGACTGAGCTCCTTGAGGGCAGGGATTGTTTTTGCCTTGCTTTGTATGCCCAGTGCTTTTATTGGTTCATGTTTGCAATGATGTCCTCATTCTTTTCAACTGGCTTCTTCTTAGAAGTCATTTCAAAGCCCTGGGAAAGAGCATATCCATGGAATTTAAGGTACTGGTTAAACCCTCTTGACCCAGCCATGGAGTCACTTCCCCCTAAGTCTCCATAGTCACTGTCCCTTGTGGTTGGGCCAAAGGCAGGTTACTTACATGGAGCCTAAATGTGCCTCTCTGCAGCTTCCGTCCATTACTCCTAGTTAGGGGTCCTCAGTCTACTTTTGACTGCCAGGGTAAGCATTCTCTTCAGTTCGTAGTCAGCTCTTTTTTTTTTTTTTTAAAAAGAGATAAAGGGGTTTAATACCATGGTCCTAAAAAGCCCTTGATGTTGGGTGGACCCTTCCATTATCCCATGAAGCAAAGGCAAATCATGGACAGGGTAGGTAGGGTGGTGGGGATAGAAAACCCTTGACATAAACCCTTTTAATAAAGGAATGCTGACTTCCTCTCAATCTTCCCATGGAAGGGTGAGAAGCTTAATTTAAAATAGTAGGGGCCTCTTCCCAAGTTGTCAGGGAAATAGCTATAGTTGAAATTTAGGGGCCCACTCAAGGGCACTCTTCACCACTGATAAAGCAGCCACTCCCAGAGCCACTCTCAGCCCCATCACTGCCAGCTCCACAAAGCAACTGGTCCTTGATTTGTTCAGGATACTTTTTGTCAGATCTTCAGACTGCAAGAACCCTTGGAAGTGCTGCAACAACACCATGTCCATCCTTTGCTGGGCAGATGCCAGCTCAGAATCTTTATTATTTATTTATTTCTTGTGAGGCAATATTGTGTTGGTGTTTGTCCTTCACTCCAGAAAAGGACCATGACATCAGGAAGGTGATGCCAGGACTTGCAAGTGAATTGGATTTAAGTGAGGGAGGGCTATGCAAAGTCACCAACCTCACTGTCTCTTCCAGAGCCATCTGAGTCTAGTGGCAAGATATAGACCAGGATGACTGGAGGTGGCTCTGGGTGCAGTGGGAGACCTTGGCCTTTTTAAGCTAAGGTCTTTCCCAGGTCTCAGTTTGACTGAGGCAACAACCATTCAGTGATTAAGGCTAGGTAAGAAGTGAGTCAAGGAATGCCCTATTTTTACCTAGTCAAAAAAAAAAAAAAACCCAACATCTGGGAGGAGAAGACACTCAGGGTTTGGGGCCAAAACAGAAACAATTGTTACTTACATTCACTCTGAGCCATGACGGCCCAAACAATGACCATTAAGTGGGGCTTGTGCTGGGACCTATTGTTGGTCAATCATTGAGAGCCAGAGTAAATTGGGTTTAAGACATGGTCCTTAAGAAAGAAATGTAGCCCATAAACCCCAAAATATCCTTCCAGGTTTCATTGATCAAAACTGAAGGCAAGACAAATGGAAAAGAGAAAGGAAAGGCAAGGAAAATGGAAATGGAAAAGAGAAAGGAAAGGGAAATGGAAAAGGAAAATAAAAGGGAAAGGAAAATAAATCTGAAATGATCTATGCTTGGTAAAGGACCCACATGGGTCCTTTGTGATAGCTACTTCTTTTTCCTCAATGCTTCCTTGCAAAACATGTTGCACAGTTTGCCAGGCATCAAAGGCAAACTCACTGACCTATGGTTGGAAGATTCCATTCTCTTCTATTTTTGAAAATTGGGACATTTGCCCTTCTCCGTTCCCACAGCCCTTCTCCCATTTTTCCAGATTTCAATACCTCACCTTGAAACTTTCATTAGCATCTGGAACCTCTTCATCCTGGAGCATCCCTCTTCTCCCACTGGTGAGTTCCTCCTTGGGCCAACCTTCACTTCTGTCCCAGTTCTGGTTCTGACTTTCTGTACTTAGACACTCTGCCCTCTTTCCTCCAACCCTTTTCAGCCTCCCATTTGTGTATTATCTTCAATCAGTCAGTCAATTATTAAACATTTATTTTATTAAATGCCTCCTATGTGCCAGGCACTGTACTAAATGCTGGGGATACAAAAAAAAAAAAAAAGGCAAAAGACCTCCTGGAACTTACAAGCCAAGGGGGAGATAACATGCAAATAAATATATACTGAGCAAGCTATAAATAGGATCAATAAGAAATAAGCAGCAGAGGAAAGGCACTAGAATGAGGAGGGATTGGGGAAGGCTTCTAGCAAAGAGTGGATTTTGCTTGAGACTTAGAATGGCTCCTTGAGGCCAGGGACTATCTTTGGATTCCCATTGTTCTCTGACATCTTTTAGCTATCCTGTCTGCCCGTTCTTTTAGTATACCAGAGTGCGGCTCTATGATATCAAAAGATATACTATTTGTAAAGCACTTTAACACAGTAAAGAGTGCATTTTGGTTGGGACCTGGAAGGTAAGCTCCTTGATTTCAGGGACCCATCTTTCTCTTTTGCATGTATTTGGATTCCCATCGTTCTCCAAGATCTTTTAGATATCCTATCTGCCCAGGTCACACAGCTAGTAAGTGTCTGAGGCTGGATTTGAACTCAGGTTTTCCTGACTCCAGGCTCAGCTTGATAATTGAAAGAAAGAAAGAAAGAAAGAAAGAAAGAAAGAAAGAAAGAAAGAAAGAAAGAAAGAAAGAAAGAAAGAAAGAAAGAAA